ATCCGAGTCGCGCTTTTACCAAACGAAAAGAAGAAGCTTCATGTTATGGACTCCACGTTGGTTCCGCTTAAAAGGTCTGAGCGTATTCTGATAGACGGTTTCAAATAATTCAACCCAGCTTTCCAATATGTGCATCGAAAACAGAGCTCCGTCCGAGAGAATGTGGCATATTTAATGCTCATTCTACAATGATTGTCTTCTTGAATACGAGAGCGCTTTCGATCGCCTGGGTAGAAACCGCCATATACTCGATCGACACACACACACACGCAAACAAAGAGGTCACATACAAAAGTTATGGGTCCACGACAATCAACAGATCTAGACGGTTGCCACTCCCTCGACTTTTCACGGAAGTGGAGTATTGTAAAAGTTGATTGTTGATGGATGTAAACAAGTCAATTCACTGGAAAAAGGCATTCCAAGAGGGTCGAAACGTAGTCAACCGAAAATTGTTGTTTTTGGTTTTCTATCGTTGTGGCTAATCCAAACATTCCTATACGGATCTAATACAATGAGCATACTGCACAATTTCTTCAAAGACATCCGTTTCAACTTTGAATGTGATACCTTGAGGCGTTCTATATTATTCACCATGTCCCTTCTGATCTCATATTTGAACCTGTTGTGTATCTCTCAACCTTGAGTATGTTCGGTAGAACTGGCATGCGTGTCAACTGAATGCTGACAACACAAACGGGACAATCTGAGTTCGGCCCAGCAACAATCACCGATACCGCATAACTTCGATGACACTCTCGCCCTTCTCAAATTGCGTTGTTTGTGCACAGGCTTCAGGACTACTACGCTCTATTTTAACACTGTGTTATCGATTTGTATCTCAAAGATTTAGTCGGACTTGAATTGAGGTGGGAAATGTTTGTTGATTTATGCTCTTTCTCTCTCTCTCTCTAATACGCATAGATAACTGATCCGTGTTGTGCGAGTAACCGAACTTCCGAACCCATTCTCATCATTATCACCACCACCGTACAGCGAGATACAGTGATCGTTACCAATCTTACAACGTCCACAAAGGAAGTGACAAAGTACAGAATGCAGAAGGATTGGGCCTAAGTGGTGGACGGAAAAGAACGTGAACCTTTGTGGTCAACATACACGGAGTGTACATCTCAGTTTCAGTTTTTTTTTCACAATCATTACCTGTGCACTTTCATGCGCCGGTTTTAGTTGCTGTCTTTTGGCTGTTCCATTGGATAAAAGAGAAGAATGAAGATTGGAATATTGAGAGCAGTCAAAGTGAAGATAGAGAATTCATACAAACTGGGATTGCAGAATTTCCGAACTTCAACAATGGTAATAAGTTCCATTATCCACGCACGGTAACTGATCATAACTGACCTTATCAGAGTTCCTTTTTATTACACAATTGTGTGCGATGAACACCAGACGGGGAAAGCCCGTAGTCACGAGGACGTGCCGCTCAGTGATAGAAACCGGTAACCTAATGACCGGGACTTGAAGTGGCGAATCACACAAGGCCTCGATAGGTCAGGTGTGGTATTGGACGACAGCAAAACCGCCTGCACCACCAAAGTTGGGTAGTGGTGGCGGGCCTCGAACTTCGGACCACAGGCTCCGACTAAACGATTGAGCCACCACCACCCAGAGGTAAATGCATAGAAAATAAACTGTCAAAAAGATTTTACCAAATCACAGCGACACGGGATTTCGGGTATAGTTCTTGGGCTTTCATATACCGTGTAAAGCGCTATTCGTGCTAGAGTGTCTTAGCAATCGGTAAAAAAACTTGCATCATTCTAAGTGAAATTCAGTGGGAATATCATTGGTTTAACTTGCGGTAGAACGTCACAATCTTTAACGGGAATTGGAAAATATGGAAAAAGAGATGGTTTACACACATCGATTCTTGCCAGAGGCTATTTGAGACCATTGGTAGTGCGTGATCAATTCACGCGGTGCATAGAAGAAGGGTGACCAGCCACAATCCTAGACACCCACTCTAGACCAGTCTGAGGCTTTCGCTTTCAAGTGAAGATAACTCGAAATTCAAGTCAAGTCAAGTCAGTAGTAGCTTTAGGCACCCGGATGGGTGTAATTTCAGCAATTACACCATATTTGTCGATTCAAATTTACAAAATGATTACATGATGAAACTGAAAGCAATGAGGTGTTTGTCAATGAAGCAAGCGGTTTCGCAATTCTGTGAGAATTTTGTTCTAGTCTATAAGTAGATGTGCTGGATTTGGCAGAACAGAACTGTGATAAGCACAGGTACGTGCAAATAAAAGTTTAAATCTTGAGCGTGTGGATGATGTAGATACAGCTTTTGAAAATTCGTTGTGTATTGGGTGGTGACTGTCTGAGAGTATTTTGGCGGCGAAATTTTCACATGCTTGTAGTTGTCTGTCAATGACATATTCGGCGAGTTTATCCCTGTCAATGCCACTACATTTAGAGATGTGTTTCAGAGATCTCGCCAGTAAATAAGTCTTTCTTCAACATACCGGGAAAAATTACTGGAGAGCAATACAACCAGTAGGGTAGCACGGATACACTCACAAATCTAACAATCAACTTGTGGGGAACAGAAAGTAATCTCAATCGGAGTGAGAAATATGAAATTTTTCTCACTTTGCAGAATGTGTTTTGAACGTACAGTGACCATGATAAATTGTGTGATAGAGTGACGCCAAGGTATTTTACAATTTTTTATTTCGGAAGGGGTTGTTGATTTGCAGAGTGGGTGGGGAACCTAGCTGTAGGGGCTGAATATGGTACATCGGCCAAGAGGAAACACAACATCCTGACATTGAGGGACATTCAATAAGAGGCAACGCGACAGGGACCAAGTAATAACGTCATTCAGCTTGCTTTGAATTTCGGAAGCCACTTCAGGGGTGGATGCTTTGCACCCCATAACAACGTCATCAGCATATTTACAGCCAATGAATGCAGGAGGAATGGAAATTGTTTGACATACATAGAAAAGAAATATGGGGAAAATATTGCCCTTTGCAGGACATCAGAAGAAACTGGGCGAGTGGAGGACTTTTTGCCGTT